ATCCCATCCGGCAAGTGGAAGGGTGATGACGGCAAATTGCTCAGGCAATTCATCTGCGAACAATAGTAATCTAGGTCCTGACCCGTTGCAGTGAAAACATGAAACAAAATGTGTGGCAAGCTTGAGCCTTCGGAATACAATGTGATACAATGGAATATGATGAAATACAGGGAATCAAAGGGAATACAATGGAATACGACCGAATACAATGGAATAAACGATAAACACTGGATTACACAGAGCTACAACAGGAACAGGCGATTATACTCATGAAAACAGATACGGGAATACATAAATGCAAAAGTGTTCCTATATTCTTTTCCAGGTTTCTTCGCATGTTTTGTATTGCACTGTGAGTGAAAAGCAGGAAAAGCATAAAGGAACACATGTCTTTTCATGTGTTCCCTTATTTGTTTCCATGTGTATATTTACAATTATCAACAGGGCCATGTGCCCTTATTTTAGCACCAGTGTATCGACGCTGTTCTGCATTTCAAGAACAGTATACCCCGTTGAGTACGCGTGAGTAGGTGGAGTTTTACACAACATGACGAACCGTAAATTATACATCCTTGGTCATTCATACGTCGGACTGCCCACGCCTCTCTCTTACGATGACAAAGAACCGTCAGGTGATACTTGTCTATCTTAAATCGAACTTCCGTTTAATCGTATTTTTGTTTAACCTCAATGATAAGAAATAGATCATAGTAAAGAGATACAATGAATGTACAAAGTACATTGATTAACGAGCGTGAGGGTACAACAAATAGGTTCCAGTATTTACAGCATCAGATTACGGCCGCCATATAGCTGGAATATTGCTGAGTGCGGCGTCAAACTAAACTCACTCTCTCACTCACTCAGATTACGGTAGTCACTAGTATATAGCATAACATCAGCGCATGTACCAACTGGCATTCCTGTCAAGTAATAAAAGGTTATTCCAATCCCAGTTATTCCAGGTAATCCCAAAACTATACTGACATGATCGTGCTGTTTAGCGTATCTGGGTATTTTTTTCGTCCAATGAGTTCAATGAGTTCTGCAAGGGGAATGGTGGGAAACCATATGTTATTATCAACAGTATGTCTCCAAGGTGTCATGTATGTATTGCCTAACTTGAACGTTGTTCCATCAGAATATGTAACCCAACTATGTATTGTTCCCTCTTACTGTATCTGAGTCCCAACTGAGATAATGTCTTTCTCTTCTTGTCTTACATTGTCATGATATTGCAATAAGCTTCACTATTATTTCATAGGGTCCCTTATTTTTTGTCAGTCGTATATTATCAAGGAGTGGTCTGTCTTAATGTTGCTTTGTATTCTTGCATGTTCTTCCATCAGAATATGTAGCCCATCTCTGTATTGTTCCATCAGAATATGTAGCCCATCTCTGTATTGTTCCATCAGAAAATGTAGCCCATCTCTCTATTGTTCCATCAGAAAATGTAGCCCATCTCTCTATTGTTCCCTCTTATTATATGCGAGTCCCCACTGAAATACTTTCTGTTTCGTGTTACATTATCATCAAATGACAACAAGCACTAAATTTACTTTCCTTCAGCTGCATGGAGTTTGTCGTGTATAGAATATCTACCTTTGTAGAAAATGATCCAGATCAATTTTAACGATTAATGCGTAACGGCTTAGCGATGTTTTAGGTTTGCTGAAGTGTTTTCTTTTGATCTGGCTTATTTATAAAGCCACACAAACACAATACATGCATCTACAAATATCAAACAGCCGGAAAGAATCTGTGCTATTTTCCAGTCATAGAAAAGCTTCAGGATTCATGTGAAGTTCCTGTACACTAAGCTGCAGTGATGTCTCAGTTTTCAGTGGGTGTGTATTTCACCTGAAAGGAAATGACTTCACCGACATATCGTTTGGTACACAATCCCAACATTTTATATAACACGTTTTGTATGAACATATATTCTTGCAATGTACTTTGGGTCATCTTGACACGTTATGTGGTAATGTATACAATATGGCTGTCCAAGATGGAAGTGTAGTGTAGTGATGAAGGATGTCGGTTCAATATCACGTATCATAGACCTATAATATTTGCCGGACACACCAACACTGTAATCACTCGTCAAGATCCGGGTTAGAATTGGTCTTCAGCAACACATGCTTGTCGTAAGAGGTGACTAACGGGATCGGCTTGCTGACTTGGTTGACACATGTCATCGTGTCCAAGTTGCGTACACCGATGTCTATGCTGTTGATCACTGGATTGTCTGGTCCAGACAGAATTGGTCTTCAGCAACACATGCTTGTCGTAAGAGGTGACTAACGGGAACGGCTTGCCGACTTGGTTGACACATGTCATCGTGTCCAAGTTGCGTACACCGATGTCCATGCTGTTGATCACTGGATTGTCTGGTCCAGACTCGATTATTTCCAGACCTCCGCCAAATAGCTGGAGTGTGGCGTTAAACAACAAAGAATCCAATAACAGGGGCGGATACAGCGTTTTGAGAGAAAAAGGGGACACACTATGAGAAAAGGTGGGGTGCGCACCCCTGCACACCACCCACCCCACCCCACCCCACCCCCCCTCTGGATCAGCCTATGAATAAGACCAACTATAGTTTTACATGGTAGGAGTCGAGCATACATCAGCTGTAATGCATTTTGACTTTTCGGAGTGTTGTCAAAGTTGTTCCCTCTGCACTGTTGTGAACTTTATACCTTATCGGCGGATTGATAACTGGGGTCAGCGTCATTTCGGCTTTCACTGAATCTGATATGACCTGGTGTAACAAAAGCTTAAAGCATCTTACTGACTGACCATATCTCGTTACACATGTACACATATCACACCGCTGTCACTAGTTGGAGTGTTGCTGAATCCTGTGTAAAAACATGATAAATTATATAACGCTGATTACCACACATAACAGTAAAGTCAAATAGCCATTCACCACTGAACATGTATACTTCAGCATTGAATCATAGGAGCAAAATAGACTATTTATTTAGTTATTATGTTGTTATCCAGTACACGGACTGTGTGTATAGTCCGTTTGACGCAACATCGTACCGATGAAATGGCAAATATACTGAACCACAAAAGAAATGTCGCACCCATAGCGGTTTCGAAAAAGCACACATTTTAATTCACTCTAATTAACAATCAAAACGGAGGATTGAGTTCAAATTTGACAATTATTGTTAATACATTTTCGGGAATCACATTTAGAGTTCACACAAGCATAATCACCAAAAATGGTACCATTAAGATACCCCAATGTCAGTATTGTGTGTGGCCTCACGGGCATCGATGAAAGCGTTGCATTGTCTGTTCATGGGATGAATTAGCCGGTTGATGAAGGCCATAGGCACTTGGGTCCATACTCTACGAAATGCATCATCGAGTCCTGCCGCCGTTGTCGGCCTTGGTTGGAGGTCATTCAGTTTTCTTTGAATCTTGGCCCAAAGGTGTTCTATTAGACTTAAATCCGGACTGAGTGCAGGCTATTGTAAAGTGTGGATACAATGTTGTCTTAGGAAGTCCAATGTTGCTCTGGCAGTGTGGGCACGTGCGTTGTCTTGCTGGAAGATGTGATTTCTGTAACGTCCAAAATGTGGTACATGGCTTGGTGGAAATAGGGAGCAGCTGTCACGTCATTTCCTCATCCTGGACCAAGATTCTGGAACACCACGGTGTCAACTAACTGGTCCAGACCGATTGCACCCCACACCATGATGCTTGGACCACCCCACGTGTCTCTTTCAACAAAACACTCATTGGAAAACAGTTCCCCACACCTTCACCATACTCTCACTCTGCCATCGACTGTCGAAATACAATATCGGCTTTCATGAGATAAAAGCAAAGTTCTCCATTGTTGATAACGCCAATGTTGATAGGTAGTTGCCCATTTTTAGTCGGTTTTGGCGGTGATGAGCGGTGAGGACAGGACTGCTGGTCTGTCACAGCAGAGGTTACTTCCGCGTAAATTAAACTTCGACGCACTGAATCGGCACTGATGGGTCTGTTGTTAGTCCCAGTGGTGTGCCGTGCTGTTTCCTTCGCTCTGGGGAAGCGATCATGCAGATGGTTGCGCACAATCTGTCGGTCTTGACGTTGTGATGTTACTGAAGGTCGCCCACTGCGCGGACGTCTTGGATGCTGTTAGTGACCTGATACCACTCCTGCAGTCAGTAGATTGCCCTAACATGAACATTAAAATGATTGTGCAGTCTGGGCAACTTGCAGTCGTCCCCAGACGTGGTTCCTCTGATCTCTCGTAAGTCGTGGCATGGTGATTGTGTCAAAACGAAAATGATTACAAGCGAGTTTGGGACTCGCTTTCATTGGTAGGGTGTCACAGCATGCATGTGCATATTTTATTTTCACGAATGTGATGCGGAACCTTTTGCCACGTCTGCCTTTTTCGGTGCGTTTGGTCCATATGTCTTTTTCATCAGAAACACACTGATGCTGGTAATAACTGTCAATTTCGATTGAAAAACATGTTAGCAAAAGGGTACAATCACAATAAAAACACCACCTGTAAGAACAAAATTTTGCATTTGATTTGGAAGGCGACGTTTCTTTTGGGGTTCTGTATATATTATACATTCGAAATCACCAAATCGAAAGTTAGTCATTTGTCCACACCAAACCCTCACTATAATTTCAGACATTGGTATGAAGAAAAGGAAATGTTGTTTCACAAACGATCATGTAAATCTTGGTGTGTTATTGACTGTTGTAACAATGGTGTAAGCACAATAACCAGAACAGCTAAAATGTATTGCGGGCACAGGGAGAGTCTCAAAACTTCTGGTCTGAAATATTGTCATTGTCAATGTCATTGTCAACTGAAACAATTCGACTGACCGTCGCATGATGTAATCCGTCTTTTCACCAATAAGAAGCTTCGATTTTGGTCTCAACTGTGTCAGTATTGTGGTTTTATGAATTTTGTCCACTGTAATCATTCAGCGAACGGGCAACACTTGTCAACACTGGCGAGTAAGATAAGACATCTGACATAGATAAGAAACTGGTCCGTCAGTTTCAACATGGCGGTTCTCTTTTTTCTGATGTTTCTCTCCCTGCTGAAGGCGACTCACTCCGACTGTGTGGAGGAGGCGGGGGATTTTATCTTCAGCTTTAACTCCTGGGATGATGTTGGAACTCTGGACCATTTCTGGAGAAGTACGGGCTTGTGGTGAGTCAGATGTCCATTCAGTGTTGAATTGCAATATCCAGTGCTTGTGAACAGGGTATGATAACGATAAAGCTATGACGTGCCGTTGTGAATGGTTAAAAAAACGAATGATCATTGTGTGTTAATGTGACGTCACTGAATATGTGTTTGAGTCGTCAGTGCTCATCACATCGGCCACTGGTTTGCGGTAGCTAAAGATCGCCGTTGGGATCGGCAACAAACGACCTAGTAACGAGCGGACGGTGGTCAATCAGATTGTGCAAAAATGCCCTTCATTTGTGAACGTCTTTCGAGTTCTGTTACAAATCTTGGTAGATCATCAAACATTTCTCTAGTCGCATGTAATGACTGGACCAATGATTCAACAATACATCGATTAATCACTAAAGTACATGTACGTGTGTACACATTCAGTATCTTATTGTTTCACGACTCATTGACCCATTTTGACCGCCTTCGTGACCTTCAATGATAAAGGACAATGGTTAAACCATAGTCTTATTGAGTAAAACAGTTATGTTATAAGTGCGAAGTGCGAAAGAATATACTCGCGGAATAATCTAGATCAGAAATAATCTAGACAGGCGCCAGCAACAATTCCCAATTTGGAATATAAACAACTCCAATTCATGTAGTGTCGTAGCCTTATGGTTGAAGCGTTCGCTCGTCACGGGATTCGATTTCCCCACATGGATACAATTTGTGAAGCCCATTTTTGTGTCCCCCGCCGTGATATTACTGGAATATTGCTAAAAGCAGTGTGAAAATAAACTCACTCACTTATTGAAATGACAGCCCCCCAGATCCACACGACAAGGCAGCTGACTTCTTGCTGAGTCCAGACATGCGACAGAACCTGGCCTTCATAGGAGCCCTGCCACACCGGGCTATAGAGCAGGTCAGGATCCACTGGCTGCTGGAGCTCATCACGGTACAGAGGTGAGTGGAACAACCATCTGATCACCGATATCTTCCGAGCTCTACTTGATACAAAACATTAATAAGATCAGGATTTTACGCGACGCAGAAAGGGCGTCTAATACGCACAAATGTATAAAATGGACCCAGAAAATTACATATATTGTGTCCCCTGGAACGCACAATATCGCTGACTGTTCAAAATTCGTGACAGGAAATATAAAGTTCTTGTAAAAAAAGTAATAATTATATTTTACAGTACAGATCTAGGCTACTACATCATTTCATCACTTCATAGGACCCTCGTATTTCACGTACAGACTCTTGAAATTAGTAAGCAGAAATTGGTTGTTGGTCAGGGTAAACCATGAAAAGATTATTTTGTTTTTCAACAGAACTTCTTTTCACGTTAATATACATTTTCCGAAAGATGTTGGAGGGATATTACATCAGTCTTTATCTTTGCTGTCCAAAAGATTTGTTCAGATGTTATGCGTCATCGTTCGAGCTGAAACAAGTTCCAGAACCAGGTTAAAAGAATAACGCGGGTGCTGAAGTTCAAGGTCTCGTAGTCTGTAGAAATGGCGGTGGCTGATTTAGGCACCCATTTTCTCAGCTTCTTTAGTTCTTCAACCTGGCTTTGTGCCCATGATATTCCATGATCATAGTTTTCTGACAGAGACGCAAACTATACACATCGAACTGCGGTGCCTTACATCACTGTGTATACCTGTGATTATCCAGGTTGGAATTGGTCTTTAGCAACCCTTGCTTGTCGTAAGCGGCGACTAACGGGATCGGGTGGTTATTATTGAGTGCGGCGATAAAAAACAAACATACATGCATCAATTTGTCAATGATGCCCTGGTTACGATTTGGTAAACCAACGAACAATGGAACCATTGTGCCCGGGTTAACACGAATCATTACGACTTTGTAAAACCCATGAACAATGGTACAACTGTGACAAACTTAGAAACAAGGCGAATTGTTCTTCGGAATAGCGATCATGCTTCTGGCTCACGTAACTGACGCAAACGTTTAGTTGTCACTCTTTCCCGTACATATCCCTCAAAAACACATTATCAGAAAAAGAATCAATGTCCAATAGCACAAATGCTGTAACAAATAAATTAATAGATTGTGATGGTACTATGGAACAGCTGATTCAACTGATTCATTGAAGCTTAGAACAAAACTGAACTCGTGGTTTCGAGGCAATATCGTCAATGCGTTGAATTGTGACTCCCTTCCTAACCGACCAGTGTTGCAGCCGAGGGTCCAGCGTACAACTTTAGCAACCTGGACACCATGGTGGAACTGCTCCACGAGAACGGTCTGAAGCCTGGGTTTGAGATCATGGGCAACCCTTCCTCCTTCTTCACCGACTTCGAGAACAAGACGCAGGTGTATTGGTGGCGAGACCTCGTCCAACAGACAGCAACCAGATACATAGGTGTGTGTGGTCTCGTGGAGAATAGGTGTAGCTGGGCGTGAAGCCATCCCATTACTGACATCCTTACCTTGTCAGCATCCGGACGGGGTTAACCTCTTTTGTCATGTGGACAAGTCGTCCGACGTCCGATTAGAAGGTCCGTTGTTCGATCCCGGAACGGGACTAGAAAATGATATGGCCGCTATATAATAAATAAAGTAAAACACCGACAAAAATTGTCGTAAACATAAGATGAGTCACATTTTTATCGTAAAGGATTGTCGTACATTTATAACATATCATATATTTGGGATTATAAACATATAACATTAGGTATTAAACAACGTACACTATCGATAAAAAATATGGTAAGATTACAGAATACCGGATACCTTCCGCCATCTTTGAAAGCACGCGAGTTTAAACTTTGTTTGTTTTTTAAGGGTTAGGTCGTAAGGGTTAGGGTAAGGTTTAGGGTTAGGGTGACGTCACACTAAACAATATGGCTGGTAGGTATCCGGTATTCTGTAAGTGTACCAAAAATATCACCGTGAAATTAAACTTTGTTTGTTTTAATCGTATTCAATAGTCGTAAATAGACATGAAAATCAAAACTGGTCATGGTTTGGCGGCCTTAAAAATGAGTAAAACAAGTAGTTACAGTCTCAAGTACATGTGTGGCGATTAAGTTCCAATCATATAAATTTGTCTTCGAAATGCAGTAATTATTTCTTGCTCCTTGATACAGTGATACACTCGTAACTGTTGTTTGAATATATCTACAGGTATATATGGATTGGAGTATGTGAAAACTTGGAACTTTGAGTCGTGGAACGAACCGGATTGTGGAGTGTTTTATGAGCTGATGACAAAACAAGGTATGTGTGCGTGCGCGTGAGAGAGAGAGAGTGAGAAAGAAAGAGACAGACAGAGACAGAAAGATTATTATATGCTACCTTCCCTCTGCAAATAAAAGAAACACAAAGGAAGAGAAAATTGTTATATCTGAGGGAATTTTTCTGATATTCATACAAAATGAATACCAAATATATAAAGTTCCCATGCATCAACAGGCATGCAGCGAGACTGATTTGTGCGGGTAGAATCAGTCTTCTTCCGACACGAGCAAACGCATTAACCACAGGGCTAACACCCCCAACCCCCGTTGAATAAAGAACGCTATAACATGTTAACATGAACATATTATACGGACTACTTCGGGGAGCAAGTTATTTGTCGACTTACAGTGTTCGTGTGTTTAAATAATTGCATTTTACTTTTTCTTTAAAGGTGAAATTATGGGATGTAATGCTATTATTTTTAAGGTTACTTGAACTACTATGACGCATGCTCAGAAGGACTGAAAGCTGCCAGCCAATCGTTGATCTTCGGTGGCCCTGGAGGCGGATGTGACGACAACAACGAGACCGACACCTATGATGATGCGTTGTTTAAACACGTCACTTCCGGTATAAACTACTTCACAGGAGAGACAGGGATAAGACTTGACTACATCTCGATGCACAGAAAGGTATATTGTTAGTGGTCAGAATTTCTTTTACGTCGTTTAAGGATCTGCCGAACCTTACGAATGTAAAACGTGAAATGGCGACACAGACTGGAAGGCAAACTGAAGAGAAGATTCCCTATCTTGCTGATATTTCCGTCTGATAACACCAGCTGGTCTAGCGCGTTAGTTTATACCTCTACGGTAACGCCTTCCCTTACACTAGCTTCTCTAGTGCGTTAGTTTATTCCTCTAATGGTAACGCCTTTCCACTACACCAGCTGCTCTAGTGCCTCAGTTTATTCCTCTAACGGTAACGCCTTTCCACTACACCAGCTGGTCTAGTGCGTCAGTTTATTCCTCTAACGGTAACGCATTCCACTACACCATCGGGTCTAGTGCGTTAGTTTATTCCTCTAACGGTAACGGTTTTCCCTACACTAGCTTGTCTAGTGCGTTATTATATTCTTCTAACGGTAACTCCTTCCCTTACACCACCTTGTCTAGTGCGTCAGTTTATTCCTCCAACGGTAACGCCTTCCCTTACACTAGCTTCTCTAGTGCGTTAGTTTATTCCTCTAATGGTAACGCCTTTCCACTACACCAGCGCCTTCCCTTACACTAGCTTCTCTAGTGCGTTAGTTTATTCCTCTAATGGTAACGCCTTTCCACTACACCAGCTGCTCTAGTGCCTCAGTTTATTCCTCTAACGGTAACGCCTTTCCACTACACCAGCTGGTCTAGTGCCTCAGTTTATTCCTCTAACGGTAACGCATTCCACTACACCAGCGGGTCTAGTGCGTTAGTTTATTCCTCTAACGGTAACGGCTTTCCCTACACTAGCTTGTCATAGTGCGTTATTATATTCTTCTTAACGGACCATAGTGCGTTATTTTATTCTTCTAACGGTAACGGCTTCCCTCATACCTACAGGGACGCTATGTGGCGGAGAACATCGTGAATGCGGAGCTGGACATACACTCCTACCTCCGACAGAAGTACCCCAGTCTGGTGAACACACCTTTCTACAACGAGTAAGTAAACAGCTAGTAGTGTGTGTATGAACTTCTTCGTCTGACACATCCAGCAAATACAGATCTCATTCACATAGGCGGATCCAGAGGGGGCTTGCAGGGTTTCAGATTCCGGTATAGATATCACATCAATGGCAGAATTCAAACGAAATTATCATTATATCTTATATGGACTATCGCAGACACAAACTATTTCAATGCATTTTAAAGTCTCCAAACGACCAGTGATCATGCTATCAGGATAAGGCTTGTCTGTTTCCAGTGAGTCCGACCCACTCGGAGGTTGGAACAAAGACCAGAAGTGGAGGGCGAATTCCGGATATGCCGCCATTGCTGCAAAGGTAAAGCATGAATTTTTCCGAATATGGAATGTCCAAAGTTGAAAAATTCGCTAAAAATACCTTAGAGTGAGTGAGTAGCTTTAGGTTTACACCGCTTTTAACAATATTCCAGCAATATCACGGGGGACACCAGAAATGGGCTTCACACATTGTACCCATGTGGGGAATCGAACCCGGGTCGTCGGCGTGACAAGCGAACGCTTTAACCACTAGGCTGCCCCACAGCCCCCAATACCTTAGAAAAAATGTAAGGGAATGCACAGTAAATGCTTATTTAGATTTACTGTTATTGTGTACTGTAATATAATACTGAGGATTAATGGTAGATATGTGACGGACATGCGCTTGAAGTGGCTTAATCTAATCTTAACATTAATTGAGGTGTACCCTAATAGCATTGAGAATTATGCCACCTTCTGAAATGGCATAGTGCGGAACACGACAAATTAGCTTGACACACAAAACTTTGACCATGTTGGGAAACTCTTTTGCCCGTATGCTACCCTGGCGTAACGACCAAACGCTTTATCCCGTATGCTACCCTGGCGTAACGACCAAACGCTTTATCTCGTATGCTACCCTGGTGTAACGACCAAGCGCTTTATTCCGTATGCTACCCTGGCGTAACGACCAAACGCTTTATCCCGTATGCTACCCTGGTGTAACGACAAACGCTTTATCCCGTATGCTACCCTCGTGTAACGACCAAACGCTTTATCCCGTATGCTACCCTGGCGTAACGGACAAACGCTTTATCCCTTATACTACCCTGGCGTAACGACCAAACTCTATATCCCGTATGCTACCCTGATGTAACGACCAAACGCTTTATCCCGTATGCTACCCCGGTGTAACGACCAAACGCTTTATCCCGTATGCTACCCTGGCGTAACGACAAACGCTTTATCCCGTATGCTACCCTGGTGTAACGACCAAATGCTTTATCCCGTATGCTACCCTGGCGTAACGGACAAACGCTTTGTCCCTTATACTACCCTGGCGTAACGACCAAACTCTTTATCCCGTATGCTACCCTGGTGTAACGACCAAACGCTTTATCCCGTATGCTACCCTGGCGTAACGACCAACCTCTTTATCCCGTATGCTACCCTGGCGTAACGGACAAACGCTTTATCCCGTATGCTACCCTGGTGTAACGACCAAAATCTTTATCCCGTATGCTACCCTGGCGTAACGACCAAACTCTTTATCCCGTTTGCTACCCTGGTGTAACGACCAAACGCTTTATCCCGTATGCTACCCTCGGTGTAACGACCAAACGCTTTATCCCGTATGCGACACTGTTTGGTCCGACTTGGCGTTTTTCAGATAATTGGGCAGCACGAGAACCTCTTCAGAGCAAATGCTAGCTCTGATTTGAAGTATACACTCCTTAGCAACGACAACGGCTTCCTTAGTTACTACCCACACCAGTTTACCCAGCGCACCCTGTTGGCGAGATTTCAAATGAATAACACAAAAACACCTTACGTGACGTTTATACCAAAACCTATCTACGCAACAATGGCAGCCATGTCCTTCCTGGGAGACAAGCTGGTTCATCTTGAAGCAAAGAGTAAGTTGCCATAGTGAGTGAATGACAATGGTTTTACGCCGTTTTTATCAATATTCCAGCAAAATCATAGCTTGGGATACCGATGTGGAGAATCTAGCCTGTGTCTTTGGTGTGACGAGGTAAAGCTTTAACCATTAGACTTTCCCAATATCACTTAATCGTTTGCCCCTTGTGAATAGTGAATGAGTTTGGTTTTACGCCGCTTTTAGCAATATTCCAGCAAAATCATAGCTGGGGACACCAAACTTTTAGCTTCACACATTCTAACCATGTGGAAAGTCGAGCCCGGGTCTTTGGTGTGACGAGGTAAAGCCTTAACCATTAGACTTTCCCAATATCACTAAATCGTTTGCCCCTTGTGAATAGTGAATGAGTTTGGTTTTACGCCGCTTTTAGCAATATTCCAGCAACATCAAGGCGGGGGACACCAGAAATGGGCTTCACACATTGTACCCATGTGGTTAATTGAACCGGGTCTGCGGCGTGACGAGCGCACGCTTTAAACATTATGTTATCTACATAATATTTTTAAAGGTGGATCCCTTGTGAAAACAACTTGAATATTGTGACTTGACCGTAAAAACCCAATATTACATCCTAGCTATGTCCGGTGGTCCTGTCTCCAACATGAGTCACTATGGCGGTTTTGCGACGCTGCACGAGCCAGAAGATGATAAGTCCTCTGATTGGTGAGTCTTCAGATAACGGGTGCGTCCGTTCTGGTGTCACGTCACGCGGAAAATAACATAGGACTTTGTAATCCTTCACAATCCCTTCTGTCCCCAGCCGGATTGATAAACAAACCACACTGTTCCATTTACTTGATTAAGTTGTCGTTGTCTGCTGTAGACAACTCCCACATAATCTATGGAGGAATCTCCCGTATCCGGTGCGTTGTCAGCAACGTGAATTACGGATATTGAACAGGTATTGTCGATGATAATAGACACTTGATTTAGTTTTTGTGAACTTCATCACATTAACACGTGTGTTCTCTTGGAGTGGAACAACGTAAACGGTCTGTGGAGCACTGCTTGCGTGCACACTGTGGCTTAGAATTACATGACGTGATCCATAATTGAGAATTAATAAGACTTGATGAACTAGTTTTGTATTTTCTGACGTGATGTACTATTAAGCTATTGTGTGACGTGATGTACTTTTGTAGCATTTTCTGACGTGATGTATTTTTGTGTTATTCTCTGACGTGATGTACTATTGTATTTCTCTGTGTAGGGTGACGTACCAATGTGGTTTAGACCGGTTCGCGGATTTTCCGGATATTTATGTCTCTTCTTTCCGTTCCAAAGTTCGGCCAGAAACGCACGCTAATAGTATATTGTGTGACTTGGCGTACAATAATTGTACTATTATATGACGTCTGCAGTTCTACAAGGAGTTGTAACAGAAAATATCGGTGTTTTCCAGGCCATCGATCACCTGATTGTCTGTCACACAGACCCTGATACAAATAATCTCATGCAAGTATAGAATATGCAAGTCTTTATTAACGCAGTATTCGGCTGAAAATGAAGAAAGTACCTCTGCTCCTTGTGAATGTGAATGTGAATTCGAACATTTTTTCTGTAAAAAATGTTCATGCGGGCATGGTGGGCGAGCTGTCCAAGGCGACAGGGTTCTGATCCAGCGAGCTTGATCGGGATCGAGCCCACCTGTGACCGGGTGTAAAAACCGTGCAGTCAACTTTGTGTGCGGACTCTTTCAGTGTTGTCACAACCCCTAGAGCACAGTACACAACCCTGTGCGGTGTCCTGCCAAAACTTCTGCATACCAAAACTTCTACACACTAAAACAACAAAATACATGGTCCAGTACACAGCTAATCCTCTGCCCCTTACCTCAAGTCACTGGATGGACTAGAACCTCCTGTGCACTTAGAAGAACCCATGAATCCGTTGGTATATGACCAGATGGTGGCCACATGAATCCACATGAACACGTGCAAACACCTAGTTGCAGGTACACCAGCGTGCAGTAAAACTGGACAAAGTACTGTGACTATGTGTCCCAGTCCACCCAGCTGTAAATGGGTACCTCGTTAGGATGAGAAAGCCGCAATAACTCGGTATGCCTAGTGGCTGCAAGAGTTGGATGATCCCCGGGGAGTTGAGATTGATAATACGATGTGCCGTTGAGATTGACATTCAATGATCGAGGGAAAAAATACCAGCGCCTTGAGCATGTACTGGTTGCATGGATATGTGCGCTATACATATATAAATAATATATCCTCCAATGTCTTAGATTAGATGTTAGTCGAGGCAGGGAAGGGGTACAAGTTTGCCGATAAATGCGAATGGCGAATGCTAACAGTGAGACTTGACTTGCTTACCGTTTCCTGAACGCCTGGTCCATGAAGATATTTTATATAGCTATGGTCCCTTGACACCAAAAGAAATTTGTTTCAGAGAAGAGACATGAAGATGGCCAAGAATGATTTTGTAAATTCCCTTTTCTCTCTTTTGCACTGGCGTATAATGTTTTCCGTGATATAACTCATTTTATTACTTACGAAGGCGAAAATATCGGGGTTCATATTTTTCATACGTTGTCCAAGGGTAAAATATCACTTTGACGTGACGTCATGAACATTGCTATGACGTCACGTTTCTTCTGTGACGTTGCGTTCTACATGCGGCGACGGCGGGTAGCCATGCTTGAAAGTGGATTTGGGTTTATTTTCCTTAATTGATACTATGTCATGAGCATTCATACAATATCCTCTTCTTTTTTTATAGATCATTAAACCTACACATTCACTAATGAATTTACTACAAATCGTGATGTCTTACTAATCTGTTGTGTGACGTGATGTACTACTAATCTGTTGTGTGACGTGATGTACTACTAATCTGTTGTGTGACGTGATGTACTGTTGTCACTGTGTATCGTGATGTACTACTGTGCTGTTATGTGACGTGATGTACTGTTGTCACTGTGTATCGTGATGTACTACTAATCTGTTGTGCGACTTGATGTACTACTGTGCTGTTGTGTGACGTGATGTACTGTTGTCATTGTGTGACGTGATGTACTACTAATCTGTTGTGTGACGTGATGTACTACTGTGCTGTTGTGTGACGTGATGTACTGTTGTCACTGTGTATCGTGATGTACTACTGTGCTGTTATGTGACATGATATATAGTGTTGCCATTGTGTGACGTGATGTACTACTGTGCTGCTGTGTGACGTGATGTACTACTGTGCTGCTGTGTGACGTGATGTACTACTGTGCTGCTGTGTGACGTGATGTACTACTGTGCTGTTATGTGACGTGATGTACTACTGTGCTGTTGTGTAACGTGATGTACTACTGTGTGCTGTGTGACGTGTATACTGTGCTGTTATGTGCTGTCACTGTGTACGTGATGTACTACTGTGCTGTTGTGTGACGTGATGTACTACTGTGCCGCTGTGTATCGTGATGTACTACTGTGCTGCTGTGTGACGTGATGTACTGTTGTCACTGTGTATCGTGATGTACTACTGTGCTGTTGTGTGACGTGATGTACTACTGTGCTGCTGTGTCACTGTGACGTGATGATGTACTACTGTGCTGTTGTGTGACGTGTACTACTGTGCTGTGATGTGCTGTGTGACGTGATGTACTGTTGTCATTGTGACGTGATGTACTACTGTGCTGTTGTGTTGTGTGACGTGATGTACTGTTGTCACTGTGTGACGTGATGTACTACTGTGCTGCTGTGTGACGTGATGTACTGTTGTCATTGTGTGACGTGATGTACTACTGTGCTGTTGTGTGACGTGATGTACTGTTGTCACTGTGTATCGTGATGTACTACTGTGCTGTTGTGTGACGTGATGTACTGTTGTCACTGTGTATCGTGATGTACTACTGTGCTGTTATGTGACATGATATATAGTGTTGCCATTGTGTGACGTGATGTACTACTGTGCTGCTGTGTGACGTGATGTACTATTGTTCTATTGTGTAAAGTTACCTGGTGTTATTGCTTTTATGTTATTTTTCAGCTGGCAGTCGGCGTTCTTTGTCTACAACAGTTGTGATATCGGACATGGCGAAGACTGGGGTCTTCTGGATCTCACATGGAACATCAGACCGCCCCCTGACAATGAAGGTACAAGTGACAACTACACGGAACATTCGTGAGCTAGACTTGTACACAGGTGGTGGAGTTGTATAATATAGCTCAAATCTCTTCACGTAGAAAATGTAGATGGAGAAAAAGCAAGTTGACCTGGGTTTTTTTATGTTTTTATATCACATCGGGTCATAAATGTCCACAGTATCGAGGGAAATTGAGATATTTTATTATTTTACGTCGGAATGACAAATCAGGACGGGCGGGAGATATGAGTCAGAAATTAATATGGACAGATTTAATGAGGCTGAGCATGAAACCAAAACCTATTTGTAGATTTGCGGTTGATGATGTACGGGGTGAGCCCCCTAACGGTAGACCCCTACGGCGTCTGGACAGGGCTGTTCAACTCCACCGACTTCCCCACCCTCGATCAGTTCCGGCGGCTTCGACAAGAAGGGGTAAGAATACATCGCCACATAACACCACACCACACCACACCACACCACACACACACACACACACACACACCACACCACGCCACACCACAGACCACATCACACCACACACACACACCACGTCACAGACCACACCACAGACACACATCACACCACACACACCACACCACGCCTCACACACACCACCACCACACCACGCCACAGACCACACCGCGCCTCACACACACACAAAACCACAGACACACATCACACCACACCACACACACACAACACCACACCACACACAGACCACACGGCACCACACCACACATCACACCACACAAACCACACGCAGACCACACCGCACCACAGACACACATCACACCACACAAACCACACGACACACATCACACCTCACCACAGACGCACATCACACCAAACAGACCACACCACACCAGACCACACCACACACACACACCACAGATCACACCACACCACAGACACACATCACACCACACCACAGACCACACCACACACACACCACAGACACACCACACCACAGACACACACCACACCACACCACCGCCCCCTCACACACCACACCACAGACACACATCACACCACACACCACACCACAGACCACAGACACACATCACACACACACCACACCACACCACAGACACACATCACACCGCACCACACATCACACCACACAGACCACACCACACACCATCACACCACACACACACCATAGACCACACCACACAACATCACACCACACCACAGACCACAACACACCACACACACACACACCACACACACACCACACACCACAACACACCACACACACACCACACCACACACACACCACACCACAGACCACACCACACCACAGACCACTCCACAAACCACACCACACCACACCACACCACACCACACCACACCACACCACACCACACCACACCACACCACACCACACCACACCACACACCGTCGCCTGATAAAAATTCAGGTTAATTACTGAGATCGGCATTATTTTATTTTTTTACCATCTTGTGAAACGTTTCAACCACGGATGACGTGGATATTAAGATAGCAAGAGTTGCCTCCCTTTCTTATACACCCTCACAGCAAACCATTACCGATGAATCAAGACATGGTTGGGTTTATTATGTATTTTGTTGCATGCATTTATTTTTGTTTGTTTAAATGTCATGAAGATGATTTTTATTTTAGGTGCGGGAGGGGGGTCACCCGTTTTGTTCTGGGGAGGTCGGGGGTCATCAGTTTTGTACACATAAATATTACAACATTATAGGTTACAATTTATGGAAAGGGCCGGGGGAGTGGGTTGATTGATGCTGTACATGACATGCATGGGGGGAGGGAGGGGACTTACTTTGTATGTAAATTATAGAGAGGATCATTCACATTGTACATGCTTCTCCATAAATATCATCATTACCCCACCAAACGCTGATTTTCATCTGTTTCAATTGCGCGAAGACGTTCAATGCCCATACCTAGTTTAACAATAGTCTGGCTTGACACTCTAGGGTGTGTTACAGAATGAAATTATATGGTGTCGGTACAGGGTGATCGAGCTAGTGTCTACCATTGCAGAATGTGGTACCCATGAATGCCTACGTCCCCCGCAATGCGACCACCGTGCTGCTACCTCCGGGCTTCCAAATCCTCACCGACACAGTTGTGGTGCTGCACTTGTGTGGCAAGTCGAAGCACCCTCCCGAACAGGTCAGATCACAAACCACCAGAAATCATGTTCATCGAATGGTTGAGTGAATATAGTTTAACGCCGCCTTTAACAATATTCCAGCGGAGACGCCAGAAATGGGCTTCACATACTGTACCCATGTGGGGAATCGAACCCTGGTCTACGGCGTGACGAGCCAACGTTTTAACCACTGGGCTATCCCACCGCCCCTGAAATCACGTTCAACCAGCAGTGGTAGACTGAGGTAGCCACAGGTCAGTCTCCTGGTTGATGGGAATATATTTGTAGGAATGTAAAGATTTGATGTGCACCGAATGGGCGTCTTTTGCATTTATCAGTGTTTGATGATGTCATTGATAATAACAGATAAGAATATCTGTTATAAAACAAAACACAATTACTTTGATGTAAAGGTGGAACAGTGATTCGCAAGCACAGTAATAGGTATCCTGCGTGCCCAAGGGACGTAACTCAATATGTGCAGTGAGTTGCCGCGCCTGAAACCACTCTACCACCCGTGTCCCTCTATTCGCGAATTTACTCATGTATGTTGTGTGGGTACACGCACGACCAGTCTTGCAGAACAAAGTGTCTCCTAGTTGACCTTCAACCACATATATCCATAGTGATCAGTCAGTGTCTGTCTCTGGGTCCCCTAGGGCGCTAATATAGGCCAAGTATTGTCAAATTAATTCCTAAACGTATAAACACAAAGATTTTCCTTAACGCATGACCTTAACGATAAGTATAAAAATATCCCTAGCACGGTTAAGCTTCGACAGGCCTTACTCTCTTTATTAGAATAATTTATAACACTATACACTGGTGAGGTAATTTCAATTTTGAGTTTCGAAAAAATGGGGGTTGTTTTGTGTTTTTTCACTTCCTTAGCAAATGGCTTTCATAATAACGTGTTGAAGTTTGTCAAATCCTGTGTCAGAAACTGGCCACAGAGTTTCTGGACTTTGGGGGTTCCAGAATGAAATTGTGACGTGTTAATTTATTATTGTCTTAATTAATTGGAGTGAATGTTTCAAGGGTGTCATTTTTCTTCAGTCTATTTGTTCTGTTATTGAAGAAACTGCCAGACGTTATTTATGACGACTCATAATTCATACTTTACAGACCCGTGAAGATCCAGGGTAGAATAGGTCTTCAGCAACCCATGCTTGTCACAAAAGGCGACTATGCTTGTCGTAAGAGGCGACTAACGGGATCGGGTGGTCAGGCTCGCTGACTTGGTTGACACATGTCATCGGTTCCCAATTACGCAGATCGATGCTCATGCTGTTGATCACTGGATTGTCTGGTCCAGACTCGATTATTTACAGACCGCCGCCATATAGCTGGAATATTGCTGAGTGCGGCATAAAACTAAACTCACTCACTCACTCATACTTTACATACTTTGTTGTCTTAGGTGACTGGTGTCCGGTTTATTGAGATCACCGCTGGACAAGTACAGGTAGTTTGGTCAGACGAAGCCATAAAGACAAAGTAAGTCTCGAGGTGTGTGTGCGTGCGTGCATGCGTGTGTATGCATGTACAAGTGTCTGTTTGTTGCGTGTGTGATGGTCGTGTTGAATGTGTGGCGTGATGTGTGTGTGTCTGTATGTGTGAGTTGGAAGGGGGGGGGGATGTTGATGGTGTTAGACGTGGTACTGGGAGAATGGGTGGAAGGAAGTGTGATGTGGGTTGTTGTTGTTGTTGTTGTTGTTGTTGGTGGTGGTGGTGGTGGTAGTGTGTGTGTGTTAGGGGTGGGTGGGTAGAGTACGTATTGCGGTGATACAGCACCATGTAACCTCAGTTTTAAGCATACCTTAAGTTTTCGCAATAATCACAGGTTCGAATCCCAGAAAGCTATCATGTTTATAAACATCCAACCACACTCTTATGTTTATCAATTGCCGTCAACATCCACGAAAGTCCCATACATACGACATATAATTGTCATCCTTTAAACATCTGCCCTGAGCTGAATTCAAGTTCACAGTGGGATACAAAGCTGTGCACTACATCTGTTGTAGCAAGTCCAGGCTGTCACTGAACAAACCAGCAGATGTCGCTCGTGTCGGATGTTAAATCCAAACGATGATATGGACTGTTTACTCACGCAAGACATTCGACATAGACAGCCAGGCCACGTTAACTTAACCAAATTGTAGGCGAACAATTATATGCATGGGATTCAGTGAACAAGTAGTGAGTGTAGTTTTACGCCGCTGTTAGTGACATTACAGCAATGTAATGTAATTCTGGGGACACCAGAAAATAATAGATTTCTAACATTGTATCCATGGAGGGATTCGAACACGGGAAATCAACACGTTCACCACTGGGCTATGATTTATAAAAGTAGCATTTCTTATCGTTACACCATTCCGTCTCTGCAGCTGATGTCGATGTTTTTATTGTGATGAGACAGCATTGAGTTTCATTTAAAGTATTTCCTTTGTAGAACCTCGGAAGCAACTGGCAACGCTCGTGTATTGATGTTATTAGTTATGATAAAATAATATTAATGTACTGTTAGTATGATAAACAACATCTGCCACGAGTAAAAGAGAAGAGAGTCAGTGAGATAGGTTTACGCCGCTCCCAGCAATATTTCATTAATATCACAGCAGGGAACACAATAAATGGGCTTCACACATTGTACCCACGTGGGGAATCGAACCCGGAGTAATGAGCGAACGCTTTAAGCACTCGGCTACGCCCGCCGTCCAGATAATAGTGCATCCATCGTGCTTGATATTACACCATGTATTTTGTCATCATTCCATACAGGTGTATCGCTACGTATGAAGTGGAGTACTCAAAACAAGAGGCGGGTCCATTTGTGCGGGTCAATCAGGATGCCACCATAGTGACGACACTAGTTGTCTCCCCTGATCCTAAACCACGTGAGGATATGTAGCCGTAACATTCTTATTGTCCGTGTTATGCTTTGGTTTTTAAATGTAAACCAGGCGTCAGTATGTAAGACAATGAACTGGTATGTAACTGGTAATACAAATACCAGTAATTTTAAGCTGAAACACGTAATTATGTATAAGTTTTACACAGCTTTAGCAATATTCCAGCTTAGTCACATGGACGGACAACAGAAACGGGCTTCACACAGTGTGCCCATTAGGGAATAGATCCCGACCTTCGGTGAAACAAGTGAACGCTTCAACAATTGGCTGACCCACCACTTCAGTGACTGGAACTGAACATATATACATATATATTTTAACATAACTGACACTTTACTTTTTTATATATTTATTTATTTATTTATTTATTTATTTGTTTATTTATTTGTCTATTTATTATTTATTTATCTATCAATCATTCATTCTATTTATTTATTTATTTATTTATTTATTTATTTATTTATTTATTTATTTATTTATTTATTTATTTATTTATTTATTTATTTATTTATTTATTTATTTATTTATTTATTTATAATGTCACGACAAGATGCAACTGTGTTGACAAAATTTAGTCTCACGTATATTCATGTGTAACGAAATGATTACATTGCAGACGGTGACCCTGACGACGTTGTTCGTGGCTACTACCGCGTCAGAGCCGTCGACTACTTCAATCGTCCGGGTCCATATTCGAATATTGTAAATTATTAAAATGTATTATATATTTTGTTCAGTGGGCAGGTTGTGTTTTCATTGTACTTACATTTAGGTTACACTAGGTTACACACACACACACACGACTTGGGGATCGGATGGTCTGGCTCGGTTACTTGGTTGTTGGCGGGGATGGTAGCCCATAATGTCAATCACTAGATTGTCTGGTCCAGACTTGATTATCAACTGAACGGTGACGACGCTCCACGGGTTTCTACAGCCCACGGTGTAAATCAAGATGTTAATTCGCGTGGTACTGGGACATTGCTGAAATATTGTCAAAAGCGGCTTCAAATGCAATTTAAAGTTGTTTTTTTTTATTTAACGAGGCACTCGGCAATATTCCACCTACGTCTGGAGGAGAAATCCTGTGATCGATATACCAGGTGTCTGGTGATCTATTCCCACTCGGTGTGAGTGAGTGAGTTTAGTTTTACGTCACAGTCAGCAATATTCCAGCTATTAATCGAGTCTGGACCAGAGAATCCAGTGATCAACAGCATGCGCATCGATCTACGCAAATGGGATACGATGAGCAAGTCAATGGGCTTGATCCCCGATCCGGTTAGTCGCCTCTTATCAAGCATGGGTTGCTGAAGATCAATTCTAAACCCGATCTTCACGGGTATCCACTCGGAAACTCCATTGAGGTATGTTTAAAACCTAGACATTGACTTCATTTACATAGTTACACGGCTGTCCACATGATATCATATTTTTAGATGATTTCACGGACAGGTGTTTCGGTAATAAATATAGTTTCAATAGGTTTTCATATTAATATTTCCGCTTATTATTACCATGGTTTGCATGAACCACTTATGCAGGAAGAAAACGTGCTATTATTGCCGTTATATTTCACAGAGATAAGTGGAACAATATTGCTTCATAGCTTAAAAAATTATATTAATCATTAATGAAATATTAAATGTCACCTGACAATGTAAGTACGATGCGGCGTCGCTGTTGTACAACACCTGTTGAGTGAGTCATGGCATTAACATCGACAAATGTAATGCTTGTTTGTTAGGTCCTACGGTACATGTCCACATGCATTTCAGATACACCAGACATGTTTATCAGTGAACTTTCAAATTAAAGATTTGCAATTTTCCGACATAGTTTTCAAAGATTAGTAATCACTCGAATTTAGATATTTATGCATCTTCAAAGTCTACTTTCTCCATGTAACCGTATGTATCGAACGTACATCAAAGGATCTTGGGCGCATGTTAACATTGTTAAGAATAAATGAAATACAAATAATGAAAAATATTGGTAGAAGAGAGTATATTGTTAAAGATTTGAGAATTTGTTATTATAATGTCAGTGAAGATAAATTTCATTTTACTCTTAAATGCCCTATTTATTATGATTTGAAGTTGACATATTTTTCGTACATGCAGTTTAAGTGAGTGAGTATGGTTTTATGCCGCTTTTAAATAGCAATATTCCAGCAATATCACTGCGGAGCATACACCAGAAATGGGCTTAACACATACTACCCATATGGGGAATCGAACCCGTGTCTTCGGTGTGACGAGCGAACGCTTTAACCACTATATAGGCTACCCCACATGCAGTTTAAAACAATACTCTTAAATCATGTGTACACTCAATGCTGAAGACTCGACGACCTTAATTAAGTGTTGAAAATATGTCAACAAAACTTTATCTTTCGTTTCCTCATTGATGTGATACTATATCCCTCATTTGTACAGCTTTCTAACCACCACGTTGTATGTATTTATTGTTTGATATGAAAAGTGGCCTTTGTACAAAATTTACGTTTTCTTCTACAAAAGAAAAATACGAGACATTTTTCACGTGAGATACTTTTCACGGGAAGCAGCACAGACATTCATATAATTTATGTAATAAAGCGCTTCTGTTATGTAAGGAAGTTAAATGGGCCACTTATGAAACGAGGGTTCACAAGTCACGTGACGCGTTTTAGCAAAGCACCGGTCTGGGCTAGTAGAGATTGTATGGGAAGTCAACGGGCTGAGCGTTACAGATATCAGGTGAGTGTCGTGGAATTACCTCATATTCTTTTTATTGATGGTGGAAGTACCAATGTATATATTAAAGACACAGGTAGGACGTGTCATAACTAGATGACACTGGAAACGAAAAGGTGTTGACTGCCGATCGCCAGAGATGGGACCCAACCGTTGTTGTTACGATTGCCGACTGCGCAGTTTCGGATCTCGGGTCCAATTCGAGGTATACAAGAAACATTTTCCTTTTGGAACACCAGGCATGTGGTTAACATTTGTAACCCCTGTGTTCTAATTTTATGATAATCTACAATCTAGGTGCGGTGTACGCTCAGACATGAAAATCTTTTGTATATGACCGGTGTACATGCAGTTTGATCCCTGTGTCCAGATAACCGACCTGTGGCGCCTACAACCATTTCTAAAGGCACGCCTATAGTCTCTAGTAAGGCTTATGACATTTATTTGCTGTTTTTGTCCAAAATATGAAGCAGACATATTTTAAGACTTATATTCCAAGATGTTTGAGTCAACTGAATTGATTTCAGCGTAATAGTGAGTGAGTAAGTGAGTGAAAATTCCAGCAATATCACGGCGAGAGACACCAGAAATGGGCTTCACTCATTGGACCCATGTGGGGAATCGAACCCGGGTCTTCGGCATGACTTGCCAACTTCAGCAGTAATAACTTATTACGTACAGCTGCAGTATTCAATGTATAGTAGAAAACATCCACATTGTTGTTGTGAGTTACAACACTGCAGTTGCAGCAGTCGTTATAGTTGCTACTAGTGTTGGGAATTGGTTAAAATCTCATAATTGATGATTGGTTCATTACAACCGATCAATCATCGAAAATAATTGGTTAGCGTCATTTATCAGATTTTCCTGGTTATGTTTGTTTGCACAAAACATAAAGAAAAAACATGTAGTTCTTTGGTTCGTGTTTTTTGGGGGTTTTTTTCAAATTGCTTATCTTTAAAGGATGACTAGTATGTTAGGAACATAAATTTCTTGGGGGTCTTAAAGATAAATTCAATCATGACTTGGACGAGCCTGTAGTGCTCATGAAATGTACCAGGCAAAACCAACCGTGTGAAAGACATTGTTAATGCAACAAGTGTTCCAGAATTGTTTGAGTTCGATTATGAGAAAACATGATCGATTGCTTGGTCGTTTAGTCACTGCGACCAATCTTCGATTATTTCAATTAATCCGACCACCACTAGTTGGTACTGACAATGCGTGTCACGTTTTGCAGTTTAACGCCGCACACAGCAATATTCCAGCTATATAGCTGCGGTCTGTAAATAAACGAGGCTGGACCAGACGATCCAGTGATCAACATCATGAGCATCGATCTACGCAATTGGAATACGATGACATGTGTGAACCAGCATCTCGCTAGTCGCCTTTCACAACATGTGTGGGTTGCTGATGACCCGGATTTTCACGTGTAGTAGCAGTTAAGAGTTCAGAAATTAGTTTCAGTATTCACCCATGTATTCAATTACTGATTACTGGCATTGCGGTAACAGTATTTCACGTTTTATTTGTGAGTGTTATCATAATAGTATGGCGTGCTGACAGTATAGCCGTGAGTAATTAGCAAGATATCCTGTATTCATACTGTAATTACAATTCTTGATGTTGCAGCCTTCAAGATCGCAGTCATGAAGGGGCAACAAAATGTTTGCCTCCTGGTCCTCATCCTCATCAACGCCCTTGTCTTCGTGGGACTCCTCGTTCTTAACTACCTCGCCGCAGACCCCCAAAACAGTGGAGGTAAATGTAACAAGATAGTTAATTCTCACTGGAGATTCTTTCCATGTAAAGTAATAAAATTATGTCCATTGAATTTTTTCCCCAAGCATAATATTTCCACAGGAAGTTGGTGAAATATTTTCTCATATAAATATTGTTTCCTCCGAAACTATTTTAGGTCAATAATCGTTTATATAAACACGCCACAAACACCTGTAGTGCTGGTTTAGGCGTCCTGCTGTAAAGGGTTGCGTCCCTTGGTTGCCAATATCCGTTTGTCGTGGGTTAGAATTCTGGAATCGCCAGAATTATTATTTATGATTCTACAACCTCATGAACCTGGCACCAAACCTGTTATTATTGATGGTGTATGTCCCGTCCTGCATCACTGTTACAATTAAAAACGCCCTCTCTTTCACTGACACTGATCTGTAGAGGGGCTAGGCTAGCCTGGTGCATGGTTACAGCGTTTGCTCGTCAGGCAGAAGACTCGAGTACTTGGGAAGCCTATTTCTTAGTGTGTCCCTAGACTAACACTTAGTCTCTGAATATATATAATTTGATAGTAACAAACAAGCCCATTTAAATTGAAAAGGAGCCCCAGGGAGACCAGAGACTCAGATTCCTGAACCTGAGGAAATCTAGACTTGCTTTATTTAGGGCTTTAGCACTGCAGATGGGGCTTGGCAGTAGGGAAAATAATATTGTTCAGGGACTGTGAGACAGACTATGTGTCCCCCTCCATGATATTGCTGGAATGTTGCCACTCTGATCTGTACGCTGAAGACCCGGGTTCGATTCCCCACATGGGTACAATGTGTGAAGCCCATTTCTGGTGTCCCCCTCCGTGATAAGGCTGGAATATTGCTAAAAGCGGCAAGATCTCACTCACTCACTCACTGTAGACATACCAACACAGTCCATACCCACAATAACGAAATCTGAGTGAATGAGTTTAGTTTTACGCTGCTTTTAGCAATAATCCAGCAATATAACGGCCGGGGACACCATAAATGAGCTTCACACATTGTACCCATGTAGGGACCCGAACCCGGGTGAAGAGCGACCGCTTTAACCATTAGGCTACCCTACCGCCCCTAACGAAATCTGAAGTAGCGAATACACACACAGGTTTCCTCACCATCCGATCCACTTGGTCGCCTGTTACGACCAGCTGATGGGAACAAATTCAAGCCTGGATACCTCGCGGGGGTACACCTGCTTCTAGAATATTTGGACCCGTGAAGATCCGGGGTAGAATAGGTCTTCAGCAACCCATGTGCTTGCCATAAAAAGGCGACTATCTTGTCGTAAGAGGCGACTAACGGGGATCGGGTGGTCAGTTTCGCTGACTTGGTTGACACATGTCATCGGTTTCCAATTGTGCAGATCGATGCTCATGCTGTTGATCACTGGATTGTCTGGTCCAGACTCGATTATTTACAGACCGCCGCCATATAGCTGGAATATTGCTGAGTGCGGCGTAAAACTAAACTCACTCACTCACTCACTCTAGAATATTTGTTTCTTAAAAGTGAATGTAAAATCTGCGTTTGAGGTAAATCTGCTTGATGACCAGTAATTTTGAGAAATATCATTGCAAGAATCTTTTTTTTTATCTTTCCAGGTTTGTTTATTCACGGCATCTCAAACGTCTCCGCCATCTACAATCTGGAGATCACTCCGGCAGGTGCAACGTTCGCAATCTGGGGAGTGATCTACCTCTGGCAGTTCGTATGGATCATCTACAGCCTCGTTTCCATTTGCCGGAGTTCCCCGTATGGACCGGTATACGCGAATCCTACTCTACTTCCGGCCGGTTACTTCATCACCTACCTCCTCAACATGATTTCAAATGGAGTCTGGCTGTTCCTGTGGGATAGGGAATATATAACCGCATCAGTGTTCCTCCTCTTGGGAACATCGGTCACTCTTTACATTTGCATCGGAATCTCGTACTGGTTCCTGTACATTAATCTCACGAATCTGATGGAACAAGGAAGAATGTACGAGGTCTATCTGGTGAGATACATGGTTCAGAATGGCCTTGGAATATATGCCGCCTGGGTTACCATAGCAACGCTTCTCAACTTGGGAGCAGTGCTTCAGTACAAGCTGGACAACCCCCTTGACTCGTCCACAACCGCCCTTATTGCTCTCAGCCTCCTCTCCGTGGAAGTCGTCGTCTTCGTCTCGCTTGACCTTTCAGTCTTGGATAAATATTCTCGCTACGTCTTTACGCCTTACCTCGTCGTTGTCGTCGCTCTTATCGGCGTCATTGGCAAGAACTGGGACCCCCTGGAATCGAGCTCCATCTTCTGTGCGGTGCTGCTTGGGGTAGCGGCAGTGTGCCTCATTCTGAAATTTGCAGCTTTGCTAGGCCGTTCACGGCAGTATCAACCCACCCAGCGCATTCAACCCACCCTCGATGAAAGAACACCTATCCTTGGACGAATATAATTGTTCCCTTTTGCAAACGTTATTTACATAAGAAACTCTTAGACTATCAAGCTGATGTTTGAAAGAGTCTTATAATTTGGACTATCCACATTTCACAATACCTCTTCTTTGTAAGCTTTTATGTTTATTTTCTTTCTACTTTTAGGGGAACGTTTTTTGTGTTTGTACTTTCATAATGTCTTTAGCTTTAGAATCTCGTAGTATTTTATTTTTTTCATGTTTGATATTAATGTTCACTGCATATTCGAGTGAAGAATTTTACTATTCAGTCATTCCATGCCAGGATCCGCATCCCGTCGGTTCTGTTTATAATCATTGGTCGGACAGCTACACGACAGAGAGATGAACGTTCACGAAATACTACAGTATCGGGTGGTTTACAAGATGAAGACTGCCACGCTGTTACATACCTGAAACACGGCAGAATCCACTTTCTAAATCTTTCCAAATCTGGAGCAGTGGGGTAGCACAGTGGTTAAAGCGTTCGTACGTCACGCCGAAGATCCGGGTTCGATTCCCCACATGGTTACAATGTGTGAAGCCCATTTCTGATGTCCACCGCCGTGATTTTGCTGGGATATTGGTAAAAGCGGCGTAAAACCATACTCGCTCACTCACTCATTCCACATCTATCCATAATAATGCTCTAACGATACACTGTCTTGTTTCATGTAAATCTGGTAGATATAAGTAAATTATGGGATAAGGTTAAGAATGTTTAATTCTTACGATACATGACATTTTAAACTCACTTTACATTCATGTTAAAGTTTTGAAATACAGAAACCGAAATCAGCTATCTTATGAGCATCAATGTGTAACTGTTACAGGGTACATGCTATTTGACTACAGGGACAATGAGGTAGTCTAGCGGTTAAAGCGTTCGCTCGTCACGCCGAAGACACGGGTTCGATTCCCCACCTAGGTACAATATGTGGATCACTTTCCTCTTGTTACTCACTATTTGACTATCGTTCGACCGCGTCCTCTGCTTCTTTACAATAAGGGGCGATGGGGTAGCCTAATGGTTAAAGCGTTGGCTCGTCACGCCGAAGACCCGGGTTCGAATCCCCACATGGGTACAATGTGTGAAGCCCATTTCTGGTGTCCCCCGCCGTGATGTTGCTGGAATATTGCTAAAAGCGGCGTAAAACCAAACTCTCAGTCAGTTCTTTACAATAATGGCCGTATTGGTGGTTGAATGGATAGAGCGTTTGCCCGGAGAGTCGTGGGTTCGATGCCCTGGCTGTATCTTATCTGTATACGCTAGTGATTATACAACAACGACGGATCGTCTCGGAGTCAATGCATGTGTTCTGAGTTAGGTAGTGATGGTAAATAACGGCATGCTGTTTCGTGAGATTGCTCCATAAAACCGACTTCAGTCCGGACAAGAGAAGATAGCCACGCTAGATAAGTCCAGTAATCTTGAACGCGACAGTATTTCTCTCTTCATCCTCTCAAATCACGTGACCCGGTACTTGATGATGCCCTAAAGATCAGTGTCACACAGATATTCACATATGGTAATCTCGAAGCTATGAATACACTTTGCCGTTTAGAAAGTGGTCAGGTGTAACACATGACTGTGATAATTTTGAAATCCCAAACATAACGTGTTACGTAATCTCGAAGGTTAGCGATATATGCTGAACGAAAGAAGTTAGGGATTATGAACTATTTATTGGGATATGGTTCTATGTACTCAGTCTTTCACTGCCAAAACAACTAGTATCTATGATCCCAATCGTGTTTTGTTCATTACATGAAATTAAAGCTGATTAACATTTTCCAGCTGTATATGACATGTTCTAATTGCTTACATTTACGGCTGTACACAGTGTCATTTTGAACTGTATTGTAGTTTGATCAATAAAGTAAAATCTCAAACATTATTGTTGATTTAGTGTTTGAGGTTTTGTCTCATTCATGGAGTTTAAATAGTGGTTTCAATGTAATTTCGATTTTAGTAAAAAATATCTTGTATTATAGACATGAAGCAATGTGTTTCCGCCACGTAGCAACCTTTGAAATTACGTGTAGGATCTCTGCAGCAACATATAAAACAATGGTCAGATACCTGCAGCAACTTATGAAAGAATGGTTACATCCCTGTAACATCATATGAAACAATGGTCGGATCCCTACAACAAATTATGAAACAATGGTCGGATCCCTGCAGCACCATATGAAACAATGGTCGGATCCCTGCAGCACCATGTGAAACAATGGTCGGATCCCTGCAGCATCATATGAAACAATGGTCGGATCCCTGCAGCATCATATGAAACAATGGTCGGATCCCTGCAGCATCATATGAAACAATGGTCGGATCCCTGCAGCATCATATGAAACAATGGTCGGATCCCTGCAGCACCATATGAAACAATGGTCGGATCCCTGCAGCAACATATGAAACAATGGTCGGATCCCTGCAACACCATATGAACAATGGTCGGATCCCTGCAGCACAATTATGAAACAATGGTCGGATCCCTGCAGCACCATATGAAACAATGGTCGGATCCCTGCAGCATCATATGAAACAATGGTCGGATCCCTGCAGCACCATATGAAACAATGGTCGGATCCCTGCAGCATCATATGAAACAATGGTCGGATCCCTGCAGCACCATTATGAAACAATGGTCGGATCCCTGCAGCACCATATGAAACAATGGTCGGATCCCTGCAGCACCATTATGAAACAATGGTCGGATCCCTGCAGCATCATATGAAACAATGGTCGGATCCCTGCAGCAACATGTGAAACAATGGTCGGATCCCTGCAGCATCATATGAAACAATGGTCGGATCCCTGCAGCATCATATGAAACAATGGTCGGATCCCTGCAGCAACATATGAAACAATGGTCGGATCCCTGCAGCATCATATGAAACAATGGTCGGATCCCTGCAGCACCATATGAAACAATGGTCGGATCCCTGCAACATCATATGAAACAATGGTCGGATCCCTGCAGCATCATATGAAACAATGGTCGGATCCCTGCAGCACCATATGAAACAATGGTCGGATCCCTGCAACATCATATGAAACAATGGTCGGATCCCTGCAACATCATATGAAACAATGGTCGGATCCCTGCAGCACCATATGAAACAATGGTCGGATCCCAGCATCATATGCATCGGATCCCTGCAGCACCATATGAAACAATGGTCGGATCCCTGCAACATCATCATATGAAACAATGGTCGGATCCTGCAGCCATATGAAACAATGGTCGGATCCCTGCAACACCATATGAAACAATGGTCGGATCCCAGCAGCCTGAAACATATGAAACAATGGTCGGATCCCTGCAACATCATATGAAACAATGGTCGGATCCCTGCAGCATATGTGAAACAATGGTCGGATCCCTGCAGCATCATATGAAACAATGGTCGGATCCTGCGGCTGCAACATCATATGAAACAATGGTCGGATCCCTGCAGCATCATATGAAACAATGGTCGGATCCTGCAGCATCATATGAAACAATGGTCGGATCCCCGCAGCAGCATCAAACAATGGTCGGATCCCTTCAGCATGCACCATATGAAACAATGGTCGGATCCTGCAACATCATGAAACAATGGTCGGATCCCTGAAACAATGGTCGGATCCCTGCAGCATCATATGAAACAATGGTCGGATCCCTGCAGCATCACCATATGAAACAATGGTCGGATCCCTGCAACATCATATATAACACAATGGTCGGATCCCTGCAGCAATGAAACAATGGTCGGATCCCTGCAGCAACATATGAAACAATGGTCGGATCCCCCTGCAACAACATATCCCTGCAGCAACAAACAATGGTCGGATCCCTGCAGCATCATATGAAACAATGGTCGGATCCCTGCAGCAACATATGAAACAATGGTCGGATCCTGCAGCATCATATGAAACAATGGTCGGATCCCTACAGCAGCATCATATGAAACAATGGTCGGATCCTGCAGCAACATATGAAACAATGGTCGGATCCTCCAGCATCATATGAAACAATGGTCGGATCCCTGCAACATCATATGAAACAATGGTCGGATCCGGATCCAGCAACATATGAAACAATGGTCGGATCCTGCAACATCATATGAAACAATGGTCGGATCCTTCAGCATCCTGCATCATATGAAACAATGGTCGGATCCCTGCAGCATCATATGAAACAATGGTCGGATCCTGCAACGGATCCCTTCAGCACCATGAAACAATGGTCGGATCCCTTGAAACAAGCACCATATGGAACAATGGTCGGATCCCTTCAGCACCATATGAAACAATGGTTGGATCCCTGCAACATCATATGGAACAATGGTCGGATCCCTGCAACATCATATGGAACAATGGTCGGATCCCTTCAGCACCATATGAAACAATGGTCGGATCCCTTCAGCAACAAATGAAACAAACATTCACCTATCACACTTTAGACACCAAAATCATCAGAATGAATCAAGAGTAAAAGATTTGATGGTAGTGAGGATGATTAGTGAGTAAGACTTTACGCCCCTTTCAGCAATACCATGGCGGGGACACCAGGAAAGCGCTTCACACATTGTACCTCATGGCGGGAATCGAACCGGTACTTGACGAGCGAACGCTTTTAACCATGATTCTTCCCCACTATGATATTTTTTGAAAATATATAACACTTTCATCCCCCTTTACATAATCTTTGTACAAAACAAATGCACACAGTGACTGATAAACGAAGAAAAGATAACAAAACTATGACCGGAATTCAGCGAAAATTCTTCTTGGACCATCCTTGCTAAATTCTAAATATCAGTTTAAAGTCATTTTAGTCTCAATAACTCTCGGAGCACATGGCATGTCGCAAAAGATTTAGTGACTTATATCCAGTATGGATGTACTTCACATTAATTACACTGACTGACTGACTGAGTTTGGTTTTACGCCGCTTTTAGCAATATTCCAGCAACATCAGGGCGGGCACATTAATTACAAAATAATTTAATTATAAATTTTCTCAGCGCAGTTTCCAATTAATAACTGCTCAAATGCGCTTAGACCATGACAGATCTGCATTATTACTCAGGTACATGGATCTGCGTGCACTCGGTTTTCATTCTCAGCTCCTCGGGGAGTATACAATTAAAGTAGCCTGTCGATGGAAGGTTTATAGCCACATCCTAGCTAATACCTGTTCAGTGCCGGGCGCAGGTGTGTCTAACAAAGTCTCCTGGCTGAGAAGACACTACATGTTGTAGTGATCTAGCCTTGCTCCAAGGCTGTACTGAATTCTGACCCCATGAATGTATAGTAACTCAGTCTGGTCTAGATAAGCGGAAGGATGTCAGTCTGTTAGAGGGACAATATGTTAGTTTTATTTGTTTTTCAGAAATTATTATTTAAACTATCAGTTATTACCTTAGAGACTTGTGCAAGTTTATACCTTAGCTTAAGCGTCGCAACATGGCCAACCTTTTTTTTTAATTGACATACTAGGGGTCAAGCTGGCGAACGTGGTCAGCCATGTCACATGCCTCCGCTACTGACATTACGGAGTTGACCTGAAATGTGACCTGCCCGCTGTATGAACAGGGCCATAGGTCATTAAAGAGTTGTACAGCCACGGTCCACCTTGAGCAGCAGGAGCCGAATGTAATTGCCCACTCCTTGTTAGCTGCACATAACGCTTGACATTAAGACACACCAGTTAGGTCGGATCGCATATCACAGCATGGTTAAATACCAAACAGGGAACCTCTCTCACTGCACTTTCTGAAACGGATGACGACACGTAGATGCGCGCATGTTAACCGTGCCATCATTTTCTTACTGCAGACGTTCGAGGGTTCCAACAGTTTGCATGGGCGGATCCACGAATTTTGAAGGGTTTTGTTCGAAACCACCACCCCTCTGGATCCGCCGATGGTTTGTTGAATGATACAGTACATCTTAATCAAAGGAATTGTGTTATGTAAGGAAGAGAGTGATTGTTGACATTATGGTTTACACCATGGCCATTCAGGCTATAGCACGACTGCCGGTAAAAGAACGATTCTTAACAACTGCTTAAAGGTCACATGCAACGTAAAACACAACTTTGCAGATTCTGATACCTTTCGGTATGGACTTACCGAAACAAATCGTCAAAAATGCAAATTCAACTTACACAGTTGAAAAATAACCCAATAAAAAAAACCGCGCGAAATCGGAGTTCAAACGTTTCACTAAATTTCCCCCGACTTTTCTGGGGAAAACGGGTTTCAACAGCTGGGCTGCGCTCATAGCATGTGCGCAGTGAAATAGGTTCGCGCAGCTTGGAAGCGGGTTGTCCGGTGAATACTCTGTAAAGGCTTTGGTGTGAGCTATTTTTCTAATGTTTTGTTGATATCTCACAGGCGCGAGCTTTTTATATGTTATGACAGTAAATTAACTGTTTATATAATTTCATTTGTCTATTTCACCACACGTTCTTCTTACCGAGTCACTTTCTCAGTTCGATACTTAAAAGCAATGTCATTATTTAGCGTTGACCGAATTTCTAACTGTGATATAGATATGTCGTTGTCACAGACAAAACTCAATGTCTTGTTTTATTGACACCTATGTGTCTGCCTGCCTGTCTGCTAATGACAATATTCAGTACACAGCTGCTATCACTGACCACATGCAATTTGAACTTAACACCAATCAGGCTATACACCATAAACAAAATGCATTTATTTATGGCCGAGTTCGGTCTCTGTCACATTATGTAATTACACAGACAGGCAGGTGTGATACTTGAACACATGACATGTTATGATGTCTGTTGATTGCAAAATGTTATACACAAAAAATGAGCATGTATTTACAAAACCCAACATCTCTATATATACACACACAATGAGCATCTGCAAATGAACA